TGGGGGAAGGTTTTATAAGCTTTTGGATATCTATGGCTTTGATATCAATAGATAAGTTTTGTTTTAAAACTCAAAACTTACAAAGTTTGATTTTAAAACTACTAAGAAATACTCTTGAAAGCTATGAGTTCTCTGATATAAGATACAATTTACATTTTTCTTTTCTTTTCTAGACCATATTGGCGATGTTACTATTCCAATACTGATGCAGTTATCTATGTAGTAGACAGCTGTGATAGAGACAGAATTGGAATTTCAAAATCTGAGCTTGTTGCCATGTTGGAGGTATGAAGTAATAAAGTAGCTCTGAATACTGCATTTAAAATTAGGCTCGTAATGATGAAAAGATGTCTTACTCTGATGCTATTCCTGTTTCTTCATTTTCAAGTAAAAATGCTTTTTTACTACTAATTTAAGCATCATTTTAGTTTACCCTTTAGATGAGCTTAATGTTAACCCATAAAACATTCCTATGCCTGTTTTAGTAGTTGCCATAAAGGGAGGGAGGGGGGGGGAGGAAATCTGGAAGAGCAGTGCAGGAGTTTGAAATCGAAAGTACATTCCAACACTTACCTTTAAAAGATTGTAACTAAACTACCAGACCTTTTGCCGGTGAATATATTTAATTGGAGAACTTGAATGATGACACCCAGCCTGTGAACGTGCTTAATTGGAGAATCTGGTTTATGAGAGGGGGGGGGAACAGGGTCACGGGTGACTGTAAATTATGTATGCCAGAGTTGGCTTCATACAGGGCAATGCCAGTATGTTGCCTCTAATCCTTCAAAGTTTTTTGAAGTTTAGCTTGAGAATCATGATTTAATTAGGGCGATTGCTGGAATCCTGAGAGCAAGCTAACTCTGGCATACATAATTTACACTCACCTGTGACTGTTTCCCCCCTCCCCCCTGGATATCTCATAAACCAGATTCTCCAATTAAGCACGTTCACAGGCTGGGTGTCATCATTCACGTTCTCCAATTAAGTATATTCACCAGCAAAAGGTCTGGTAGTTTAGTTACAATCTTTTAAAGATAGGTATTGGAATGTACTTTCGATTTCAAACTGCTGCACTGCTCTTCCAGATTTCCTCCCCCCCCCCTTTATGGTAATTACTAAAATAGGCATAGGAATGTTTTATGAGTTGACAATTTGTTTATTCTTGGAGGCTTTGGACTAATATATATTAATATCTGCTAATCTGTGATTCAGTATCAACAGTATGCTGATGATGCCCAATTATATCTTTCAACTCTGGGGCAGCCAGTTGAGGCTATTGAGGTTCTGTCCTAATGCCTGCAGTCTGAGTTAGGATTGGGAGGTACCATCTCCCATTCAGTCCCACCAAAATGTAGTGACGGTTAGTGTTTTGACCACCCATGTCTGGGGATACTTCAACTTTGACTTTTGTTAGTGTGGTACTTCTCCATTCAATGGTAGTATGTAGTTTAGGAGTCTTCCTGTCCTCAAACTCCTACTTGATGAGTAGGTGGTAGCTGTGGACAGCAAGACTTTTGCCCTGCTTCATCTGGTACACCGGTTGCACATTTATTTGGTTGCCCTTCAGTTACTCATGCCCTGGTCACTTCATGGGTTAACTACTGCACTGTGCTCTATGGAGGTGCCCTTGAAGGCAACACAGAAGCTTCAGCTGGTCCAGAATGCAGTGGCGCAGGCAGTGATGGACTTGCCTCAGTATGCCCATGTAGCATCTCTGCTTTGCAAGCTGCTTCGGGTGTCAGTTTGCTGCTTCTGGATGTGATTGGTTACTACCTATAACGGCCTACATAACAGAGGTCTGTTTACTTGAGAGACTCTTTGTCTTGTGTAGTATTTTCCCAGCCAGTTCAAATTGGCAGAGTTGGTGCGATCTAGTTCCATCGATTAAACAATGCCTTTCTTTGGAACCCCGGAAGTACATGTCAAGAGAGAATGCAGTTTCCTCCTCCTGCACCTAGACTGGAATAACCCCTTACCTTGCTGGTATTTTGAAGAGCTCAAAAGACATGGCCCTAAATCCAGGCCTTTGATGAGGATGATTGACTTCCTTTTCCTTGTTCTTATCAGGGTTTGTTTTTCCTGTAATCTTTGTTCATATTTTTATGTTTTTCTATTCCTTGTTTTTAAATGTTTTGTAAACTGCCCAGTCACTGGGAGTTTGGACAGATAAATTTAATAATTATTATTCACTTTAGAATGATGCAAAAGAGGAAAAAATAGAAATTTTGGTAATGTGATTTTCTGTTCTCTGAGGCTAGCAAAGATCATTTCCTCTCCTCCTCTCAATAGCTATAGATTCTAAGGAGAGTGGGAGGGGAGACAAATAAGAGCTCAATTTAAGCTTTATATAATCTGTGAATTACTGCAAATCATGGATATAGCAGGGCTGATAAGAAACCCTTTGTTGCTGAGAATGCTGTTTTCTTGCCTGTTTATTGTGGTTGAACCAAGGTCTTTGTTCAATCACGCTTGAAGCTAATAGTCACCCTTTTGGCCCAAACTCCAATGAGTTCCTCTTCAAACACCTTGGATTATTTCAACCGAATAAGCTGTATACAGGCTTTCAGGACTACTGTACAGGTAGTCCTTGACTTATAACCATTCATTTAGTGACCAAGTTACAATGGCACTGCAAAAAGTGACTTATGACTGTTCTTCACACTTAGAACTGTTGTAGCATTCCCAATGTCATGTGATCAAAATTCAGACACTTGGTAACCAATTCATATTTATGATGTTTGCAGTGTCATGGGGTCATGTGATCACCTTTTGCGACCTTCTGATAAGCAAAGGGGAAGCCAGATTCACTTAACAACTGTGTTACTAACAACTGCAGTGATTCACGTAACAACTGTAGCAAGAAAAGTCATAAAAGGGGGCAAAACTCAAGAACTGTCTCAGCAACAAAAATTTTGGGCTCAATTCTAATCATAAGTCAAGGACTACCCATATTAACATTCTGTTAAATAGTGGGTGGTAAGATTTAATTGTCTAACAGGCTAGTATTCACAAATTTGTTTCCTGATTAGAGTCAGTATCACTTCTACTTTCTCCATGCAGAAATAAGATGGGCTTCAGAAAGTTCTGTGGAAATCATTCAGTGTTAAAACAAATGTCTAGATGCTTGAAATCACTTGAGATTCAGTTGGGTGCTACCTTAATTTTTGGGGGGTGGGGTGGGGGTGGGGGGGAATGAAATAAACCTAGGATTTTTTCATTCAACATGAAAATGCAAGAAATTTGTCTTTTAGATGTTGGGAAATTCCAGTATATATCCCAGATTCAGTACAAGTCTGCATTACACAGCGAAGGAGGGACAGTCGAATGTTGCTGTCTATCAAAAGAAAATGTTAATTATTTTACTAAATCTAAGCCAGGTTGAATCACTTGTGGATTTAGACATCCCCACTCATTCTTTAACTGTCTCTGTGGCCCTGTGATTAAGCTGCTTCATAATGGAAGCATGATTTTGTATTGAAAATCTAATATAATCTATTATCTGCTCTTTTAGGAAGAAGAATTAAAGAAAGCCATTTTAGTGGTATTTGCAAATAAACAAGATATGGAACAAGCCATGACTCCTACGGAAATGGCAAATGCACTTGGACTACCAGCTCTAAAGGACAGAAAATGGCAGATATTCAAAACATCTGCAACCAAAGGCACTGGACTTGATGAAGCTATGGAGTGGTAAATATTACTGTTCTGGTTCCCTTAGAAGATTACTTATTTAGGATAGTGCAAGAAAATGGAAACACTGATTAAAAGCACATGGGGGTTGGCAGTGCTCATGAAGTACCTGTCAGCAGTTCCTTGAAGTAGTGTAATCTGAATTCATGATCCCAGTAAGATAGACTGACTAATTCTGAAGTAGCATATTGAGCTTATATAGAAACATATAGGAAAAGCCACATTTCATTTAAGGAGATGCTAACAGATGCTCCCTCGGTACCTGCTGAGGCACATACCTAATCATTTTTCCCTCTTTGAATTTGGATCTCTGCATAGTCCTAGTGCATATTATAGAAACCCAGTGTACATAAATATGAATTTATTACTTTATTTTTAATATGTTTGATATTTAAATTTCAAATTTTTTTTTTCAGGTTGGTTGAGACCTTGAAGAGCAGACAGTGAAACAGACTTGAGGTTTTCTTCATTGGTTTTGTGAATAAATGCAATGCTGTAAATAGAATTGACAGATTATCTTTTGAAAAAATGGTGTTCCTATGCAATCACTCTGAAAGTTTGCATACTGTATTTACTTCATATCTGGTATAAGTTACGTAACATCAATTTTTATGATATTCATTACTGAATATCGGCTAGAGAAATTGGAATAAATCTTTATTTTAAGTGTCTGAAACTGTTTAACACTAATAAATATTTAACTGCCTACACTTTTGTCTCATGCTAGTTATCTATAAGGTATTCCCACTTGAAGGTGAATTAGGGGACATTTTTTGTGTAACCTGTCAGGAATATTGGGTGAAGCTGTGAAAGTATGTGGGTTTTTAAAAACTATTTAAACCATCACATACTGTTCCTTCAGGAAAACTTGTAAGTCAAAAACCACCTTGATCCTTATTCAGGTAGTTCTTGACTTACAACCACAATTAAGCCCAAAATGTATGTTAAGTGAGGCATTTGTTAAGTGAATTTTGCCCCATTTTACAATTTTCCTTGCCACAGTTGTTAAGTGAATCACTGCAATTAAGTTAGTAATCTGGTTGTTAAGTGAATCTGGCTTCCCCATTGACTTTGCCTGTCAGAAGGTTGCGTAAGGGGATCTCATGACCTTGGGACACAGAAACGGTCATAGATACAAGTCAGTTGCCAAGCACCTGAATTTTGATCACATGATCATGGGGCTGCTACAAAGATCGTAACAGAAAAATGGTCATAAGTCATTTTTCAATGCCATTGTAATTTTGGTCACTAAATGAACTGTTGTAAGTCAAGGACTAGCTATTTCCTTTAAGAAAAGATAGTGTGTTGTAGAGATATGAGAATGGCTCTCTAGCATTTTTGAGAGAAACTAGATGAGAGAGCATTTTTGAGAGAAACTATCAAGTATCCCCCTTCATTATACTGAAACATACAGGAATAGAAGCATCTTTCATAGAGTCAACAGTGTTATTAGAAGAAAAGTAAAATGTCCTAAAATTTTATAAAGCTTTTTTATAAAGTGTGTTAATAGTTCAGTTTAAAATGAAAAGCCAAGTTCATAGATCATACTAAAGCAAAAAGGAACTTGTTTTCAACTTAATACCAGTGGCACCTGCAGTGGAAAAATAATAAACTCTTAATGCTACAAAGTAAATGTACCAAAATAACTTTAGCACACAGTTATGAATAAAATGTTTTAATCATGTAATAAAAACACACATATCACAAGCTGTACATTAATGTACAATAATCTCTGGATAACTAAAAAGGCTGAGACCTCCCCATTCTTAATCACAAGCCTTCTCACTGAAATGATTGAAGATTTTACAGATTTCTCAATATTACTACCAGTTGAACAGGATTTACAAGGAATAGAAATTATAAATAAATATTTAGTAAGCCCTGTAGGTGTATCTTTCTGAAAACAAAAGTATGGTTTCCTGAAACAATCTCAAACCTTAAAAGGTGATGATGTGATAGTTAAGCCTCTGTATATACTGCCTTTTAAACCATAGAAATACAAATAGTCAGTTGATAAAAGCTGTTGAATCTATTGTTCTTATTTTGTTAAAATCACATAAAACATTTTCCGCCTTCTGTCTTAAGCAAACATGAAAAGATTAAATGCTTTTTTCTAAAAAGTTATGTGATAAAAGAGTTTTACTCAACCATTGCCAAATCTTTTAATGCATGGCTTCTTTGTTTTTTGGCTTTGTAACCAGGCCGTAGAAATTCTATTTTTCTCTTCTTTGCTTCAATTTTGTTCTTATGCCTCTTTAACTTCCTCTTGGCAGCAATCTCAGGATTAGCAACAGCCTAGTGAAAAACAAAGAATCATAATATTTTGATACTCATTTCCTCCACACCTTCTGAAATTGCCTGGTTTTAATAAAGCCTCTTGTGACAAATGAGATAGTCGGTTTTTTTAAGCAAATGCAGGTGAAAACTGAAGTAGATACTAACCTGTAGGGCTCTCTGCTTCTTTCGTTTAGCTCTCCTCTGGCTGGCTTGTTTTTGCACAAAAGCAAATGAAAGCGAAAAGTCCTCCAATCCAACTAATTTTTTCAGTAGTTCTATGATTTCTTGGGAAAGATTCTTTAGAGTTGGATCTGGCAAGGATATGATTTTCATTAGTTAAAATCTGAGGGCAGAAGCTGAAGTATGCTATCTACTGTTCAATCTTCTGCACAATTGTCCAAGTGTAATATTCTACAGAGTTCCATAAAATATAATATCCTAACTAAGGCTACTCAGAAAACAGCATTAGTATTTAATTTCCATACCAAAATATTATTTGAAATACACTTGTTTAAAGAGCCCTCATTTTTTATAGGAGAAAATTGGCTCTTTTCATCTTTCAGCCGCCTCTCTCAGTATAGATTAAGCGCAGCCTGCCAAGCCATCTGAACTCCAAGGGCCTGTGATTGTCCTAAACCATCAGTTTTCAATAAAAGTTCAGCTTAAATAAATCTTAGAATCTGGATACACTAAACTGCAGTTAACTTAGATGAAAGAGGCCTTCCTTATCTCTTCCTGACAGCTGTGCAAGAAGAGTAAAAAGGAAAGAGGTAGACTTTACAGTGAGAGCAGAAAATAATTTAAGAAAAGTAGCTAACTTGAGGCTCACTCACATAACATGAAGCAGTAATGCTTGATTAAAACCACATATTTAGTACAGAAATGCATGCATGGGAAACACACTGATTGTTTAGGTTTTGACTCGGCAAGCTATAGCAAGGATTTTGCCAGATACTTAATCCCTTAATCAAGGTTGACTCGGCCTTTCATACTTCCAAAGTGAGTAAAATGAGGACCCAAATTGTTGGGGGTAATATGCTGTCTCTGTAAACCGCTTAGAGAGGGCTGTAAAGCGGTATATAAGACTATGTGCTATTACTATTGCAGAATGCAGCCAAGCTTTCTGAATCCAACAGCTTGCATTGTAATCAACTATTGGGTGTTACAAGGGACAAGTGAATATATAAAGCAGCCTTTACTGTCATACTGTTTTCCAGATATATTGGATCTCAAGTTCCATAATTCCTATGCAATCTGACTGATAAAATGCCAAGGAATTATGGGTTTCAATATCCAGTACATGAAGGAAATACAAGAAGAGATTGAGTCAGGATTTCAGAGCAGATTATTTTTCCATCCTGATACTTAGATGAACCATTTGCTATTATCTCCATAAGACCATTTAAAAATACACAGAAAATACTGTGTCTCACACCAATTGCCATGTATAAAAGCCTCCTCAACGAGTTACTTTACATAGATTGTAGAGATGAGAGCTATGCAATCACTTCACTATATAAAATCCAGAATGGAATATTGACATTTAAAAGAGCTGTAGCTGCAAAGAAGCAGAACCTGAATAACAACTCAATCTTGTAATATTATGTAAAGTTGTTGACTCCAAAAAGCATAATTACCTTTAAAAAAAATAAAATTACAAGTAGAAAAGTTTCATATGATCCTTTTAAAAAGGCGGATTTTAGAAGATTTAACCATCCTACAAGTTTTAAACTTTAATAATTCATTAAATTTTAAGAAAATGATGTTAATGAGCACCATATAAAACTTGCAGATTGCCAAACCTCCCTCTTCTCCCTCTTCCTCCATGATAAGCATTAATAATAGATCCATTCTTCTGAAGAAAAAAAAACTTGAATGCTTGCTAGGTATTTTAAAATATGGAAAGTATAAAATAAACGTTTTTAACGTTTTATTCAACTACTTGAATGCAAATTCCCTTACCTTGTTCTGCATACGTGCTACTCAGTTCTCTATATAAAGGGGCTATGATTGTTGGAAGATATGGTTTTACCTTCTCTTTCCCAAGGTCAACTGCAATAGCACCAAGAAACTTAAAGATACAGCTTCTCTGAAGAGGCAAGCACATTTGGTCAACAGATTAGCCCACAAAGCAGTAGAAGAGGCAAGCACATTTGGTCAACAATTAGCCCACAAGCAGTAGAACAGGGGTGTCAAACTCAATTTCACTGAGGGCTGCATCAGGGTTGTGTTTGACCTCGGGGGGGCTGGGGTGGATGTGGGCAGGGTGGATGTGGCCAGTTCAACATCACTCATGTTGGAGACACCTGTGGTGGCTCAAGTATTCTGCCAGCGAAAACAGGCTCCCGAGCTCCATTTTTGGCTGTGACGGCTTCCTGGAACCGTCTGTCAGCAAAAACAGAGCTCCATTTTTGCTGGCAGAGGCAATGCCCTTTGCTGTTTCCAGGGTGGCCCCATGGGCCAGATCTAAGTATCCTATGGGCTGGATCAGGCCCCTGGCCTTGAGTTTGACACCCCTGCAACAGAACAACCCAAAGATTTTAACAATTAGTGGCAAGGGAGTACTTTCTCAGTGAATCTTAGAAAGTACAAACATTTTCCAGCAGTTCTGACAACAGTTTGATTTGCTCAATATGTAATTTTAAGCCTAATTTGATCCTGCTTCCTCTTCTGTGCTTACAGCCTCTCCATTTGCTATCTATTCTCCAAATTTTTCATTTTTGTATCCTTCCTTTTTACAATGCCTGGCGAGGCCAAGTGCACTCTAAGTAGCATTTCTCAGCACTTGATAGACCATACCCCTCAAATGTAACAGCAGTAGAATCTGAAAAAAAGAGGCAGATTACATTTCCCACATTACATTTCCAGGGTTAAAATCTAAATAGCTTCTTTCAGTTTGACTTTGAGGTAAGCATTACGTCAGCAACCTTGTTCATATTTTAGCACAATTACTGTAGAGTCTCTGTACCTCAGGTTTTTATTAAAGTAGTAATGAAAAAAGCAAGAATCCTTGGATTTGGAGAGGTTTCAAAAACCAAAACAAAATAACACAGTATAATTGAGCAAAAGCAGTGAAGCGAATTGAAGTGAGGATCTTTTGCTCATTTAAATTCTGTTCTTCCTATGAAGCTAAAGACAACAACTGATGCTGGATGCCTTCTTGTCCTGAACTGGAACAATGCTGCTCCCACTTGCATTTTCATGCTGCCCTGCGGGTTTTTTAACCATTTGCGCTTGTGGACTTTAAGTCACTGACACCTTGACAGTATTTTCTGAGCTGAAGGTGTTATTTTCAGAAGATAAACCAACCTTTAAAGAATCTTTGGGTGAATAAGCAGCTTCTCTTGTTGCCATGACTAGGAGTTTCTTCATCACCCACAACAAACTGGCTGGACTGCTCTTTTCTTTTGCTTCCATAGCCGAAGTCTCTTTCTCATCTTCGCTTCCTAAGTCACCCTGATCTTCAGTTTCCCAGACTACATCCTCACCAATCTCTTTGTCATCTTCTGGAGTAGGAGCCAGAAGGTACAGTACTTTGGATACAAACAGTAAATTCTTTATAACCTTCAGTACAGAGAAAGAAAAAAAAAGATATGCAAATGACTTATAACATGTTTTGCAAAAGGGCATGCTCTCAATGAACTATTTTTAGCTACTTGATTAAACTTCTTGTTTTATGACTTCTAAGGCAGTGTTTTTCAACATGCCGTCTGGGAGATTCTGGGAGTTGAATCCTCGTATTTTAAAGTTGCTGAGGCTGAGAAACACTCCTTTATTGCAAAAGTGGAAGATTTAGCATGATTTATCATGCCATTTGAGGCTCAACGTTTCCCAACTTAAAGAGTTCTCTGCCAAGATATAAAAACAATATTCTTACATCAAAGAATGTATGTACAGAACAGGAAAAATGCACTCATAACCATTTATTATGAAAATGAAATACTACCAATGGGTAGTAATCTCTATCTCTCTTGCAGAAATCAAATGCATCAGATAACTGAAAAATGTATTTAAAAAAAATGACTGGGGGAAAAAAGCCAAAACAGAAAATAATTCAGATTACAAACATCCTATAAAAAAGGCTATTCATGCTCGGAACTAAACATATCTGGAGTGTAGTCAGGTCCAGGAACTTGTGAACTTTTGAATGGCATAAAATCTGGCTATCATTTATGAATCTTTCTGATTTTGAACTCTTACATCTGTTTCAACTATCTATTTTTTCAGCAAATGCATTACAAATATAGCAAAGTGCATATTCTATTTAATAATTTACCTGTTCTCCAAGACTGTAACTGAGAAATTTGGATTTCAGCTGATGGCAGAAAGCTAAAGCTAATGTTTTCATCTGTAAAGGAATATGCAAGACAAGATAATAAGATGTATCTGGTGCTAAATTTGGGGCAAAAGTAAATCACTTTCCCCAAATAAGTAACAATTAAAATACAACAGAAATAGTAAGTTCTAGCACTGAAGATCTATAAATGTAACAAAACCAATACATTATATTGAAATTAGTATTCATTTCTGCTCCATCCACCAACTGGAAGGCAATAGCAATAACACTTAAGCGTATGTACTGCTTCATCGTACTTTACAGCCCTCTCTAAGCGGTTTACAGGGTCAGTATAATTGCCCCCAATAATCTGGGTCCTCATTTTACTGACCTCAGCAAGGTGGAAGGCTGAGTCAACCTTGAGCCAGTGAGAATTGAACTGCTGGCACTTGCCAGAATTAGCCTGTAGGACTGCATTCTAACCACTGCGCCACCATGCTTGGAATATGCAGCAATATAAGTAAGATAGTAAGATAACCTTTTCACTAAGTTCCTCTATTAAGAAAATTGTTGCTGACGGCTCAAGTGTCACTTGTTTCTTTCCTGTTGTTCTTTTATTCCATTTATTAACAAGTTCTTCTGGCTTGTGAGAAGCAAATAGCAGGCCAAAAATCTGAGCAGAAGTCAGCCATACCCAGCTGTGTGGGTACCATAAATGGGACTGGACATGACCTTAAAAATGGAGAAAAAAGATATCACTTGAACTGAATTCATTTATATGCAGGGACATTAAAAAAAAACATGGTTAGGTGTTACACACTTTTAAAATGCACAGTCTTCATAATAAACATGCCAGGCACCAAAGCTTCTTTTTGCAGCAATGTAATGTTGAGAGCCAGTTTGGTGTACTGGTTAAAGCCTCAGGTTAGAAACCATGAATTCTAGTCCCACTTTAGGCACAAGCCAGCTGGGTGTCTTGGGCCAATCGCTTTCTCTCAGCCCCTATGGAGGAGGCATGGCAAGCCACTTCTGAAAAACCTCGCCAAGAAAATTTCAGACACTTGTCCAGGCTATCTCTGAGAATTAGACACAACTGAATGGAAGGAAAAAATGTTACTACTAACCCCAAATGTTGATCAGAATCTCATGGTGTTTGTTTAATTGAATAATGTTGCACTCATTCATTAGTTTAACAAGCAAAGTTAGGAAGCTGAAGAGCAATCTGTCTGCCAGCTTTTCTTCAGTCTCTTCTTTAACCTTAAAAAAAGTGAACGTGGATGATAAATGCTATTCTGCAGAAATAATAGTGTTCAAATAATTAATACATCCCTTATTATTCTTCATAGCCTGGTTTAGGTTACTGCCTATTGATAATACTGGTATAATATTGAAAATTCAACTGCAAATGGGGACAACGGGTCTATAATCTGAAACACAACTGAGCAAAAACAACACAAACTCTTTTCTGATAAGGTTCCACATTCAATTTGAAATTGAAATTTGCAAAGGATTTCCTAGCCAAAGAAACACAAAGAGTGGATGATCACCACATCTCTTCACACAGAAGTCACCATAAACTGCATATTTTGGCTTCCTGATCATTTTCATTCTTTTACCCAGAAAACTCCACAAGTAGTCTTCTTCCCTTTGTTGTTATGGATATAGGGAAACAGTAGGAAACTTTTCCCAATTAAGATCATGCTATCTCTAAACTGAATCTTTATAATCACTTTGATTATGAAATCCATGGTCCATTCTGAAAATATCTACATACTAATATGTCATGTATTACCCTGATATCTTTCCATCCGCATCACAAATGGATATACCACGATTGCTGGCAAAGCTAACACATGCCAGATTTTACAGCACTGAAAATGGAGCTCTTAAACTAATAGATCTAGGCCTATATTCAACATTTCTTAACAGTTTCCCACAACAATCAAAAATAATATAGATACTCAACCATTTATTTCCTTCATACCCACTGAGGAAGTCCATTCACCTATAGTCTAAACAGCTTATAGAATAAAAATTCTGTTCTCCTGTTTTACTTTTACCTTCTCTCCTTATTACAGCTATAATGTATTATCTCTTAAAACTGTTTCAATAAGGCTCTTTTACACTTTTTGGAAAAAATGACATGTTTCTGCCAAAAATAATTTTGACAAATTTCTTTCATGAACCTGACTTCTTATAAAATAATGAAGCTTTTTATCTCATTTAGGTGTTTGATCAATATTCTCAGATTTTCAATTTCCCAGAAACATTATTGCTAATTAAAATACTTACTTCTTCAAAATTTGAGGGATGAATTTCTCTCTCAATAATAGGGAGAATAGTTCCAAGCCTTTTCTCAAATTCAATTTTTTCAGCTTCAACAAATGCTCCACAGGCTTGAGCAGCTAATCTCTTATGTACACTCTATCAATAAAGACAATCTCACATAAATAAGATATTTTGCAAAAAAAAAAAGCTAATTAAACTAGTACTATTTGTTATTCTTTTAATGAGGAAAGTAAATACATCAATTTGTGTTAAGGAAGGAAATACATCAATTTTGTGCATCCAACAAAATCTAGAAGAGTTTTCGGAATCCCTATCCCTAAGGAATACCAACTATACAGAAGATGGTAAGAGTTCTCTATTATTGCCCACCCCTTCTCTAGAATGCCATCTTAACCCTGCCCGACTCCCAAGATCAAATAATCAAATAATCTCCAGTGCTTTGGGTGGTTTTATAGAATCGTTAAAACCTGACCAACAAGATTTTGAGGTATGAGAACTGATCCTCTCTGTAGGATAAAGTTTGTATGGTTAGTGTCTTTCTTGAGCTAAGGTTCTTACTACTCATTACTGTTTATTGTATTATGGTTTGCTGTGTTTTATTTTCATTGTAATATCAACGGTAGGTAAGCCACTCGGAATGAGTTTTGATTGAAGCAGCATATAAACACAGTTGAATACCAATATATTTCTTCATTATTAATAACAAATGTAAATGAATCCTTTACATGCAAGGAGGCCCAAACTGTTAAGTGTGTCTCCCTTACCAACGACATGCTCAGCCATAATTCTGAGTGGAGATTTTAATCCCAATCAGAAAATGAATGCTAAATGCCATGTAATAAAGTAAGTGTTCTACAAAGAAAGGTCAGTTGGTTATAATTTTTCTTTGGAAAAAAGTTAGACTCCTGACATTCCCTTATTTTATTCTTGCTAATTAAAAGACTAATTACTAATGACAACCTAAACCCATGTGGTACCTTTTTACTTGTAAACCACGAAGCAACCAGGGAAAACATCAGGTCTCGGTTTGCAGGACTAATTTTGATGAGGAGATTTTTGATCGCCAGTGCCGCCATCCTCTTGCACTTTGCTGAGCTATCGTTTACTATCATCATACATAATGGGACGAAGAATAGGCCACAAAACTCATGCAATAAGCCCTGCAGAAACAAAGTAGGAATCATACAGGCTGCAAATCTCTAGAATGACAGTTTTCCCCTGTAAACCATAATGAAAGAAAGATCCACATCAAGACAATCAAAATACAGCCACTCCTTGTTTAGCGGATACTCACTTAGCAACTGTTCACAAATATGAAAAATGATAATCATTTTCTGAGCAATGTATGCACATAAATTTCTGCACCTGACAACAATGTACGCTAGTGTGAGAGTAAGCTATACAAGTTGTCTCTAAATGAGACAACAACAACCAGTGATTTTTGAAGCATCTCTCTCTCTCTTTCTCTGTGACCATTTTGCTTCCTATTTAGGGAACGGATTGTGCTTGCTAAACAAGGAATAGCTGTATTCCATGCGCAGATGAACATACGGCATTTTTTCTGTTTCGATTAAACAATATTGTCTCTAGCAATTGCATGTATTTCATAGTACTTAAGAAACCAAGGGCCAAAAACACTGCAATTAGCAAATGTACGTTCAAAAACATTTGAGCTACTTTCCACAGTATATACAAAATAACTTTAGGAAATGGCTTTGGATAAAAAGCGTTGAATTAAATAAGAAGTGGGGGCTCTCCTAATAGAATAGCTAGGATTTAAACAGAAATAAAATCCAATCCATACAATTCTTTATACCCACAAATTCCAGAATACTCCTGCAACAAGCTATATGTTTGTTGACTTTGTTTACAAAGTTGATCCTGTACATATTTTCTCAGCAATCTCATCCCATTTATCATAAACAGTCTTACTGAAACATTGTACTTATTTTAGTTTAAAGAAAACATTACAGCAGAATTCCCCAACCTTTCTGGGTTGGCGGCCTGGAGGGGCAGGCACCTTTACGTACGAATGCGTACGTGCAAAAGGGGCCACTAGCACCCACACGACACTCGCTAGCACACACACATGCACAGGCCAGGCATTCACGTGGCCCAATGGCCAACAATCTACAGCCTGGTAGTGGGCCATGGCCCACAGGTTGGGGACCCCTGCATTAGAGGGTATTGTATCTGTGAGGTAACTGCACAATACCTGAGGGAACATTTCAAAGAGATAAGCAATCATTTCCAAAGCAGACTCTCTTCCCGTCTCATATTCATAACTAGAATGAAAACAATTAACAGGGATATAGTTAATACTTCCAAAATTGCCAATATTTTTGCCCAAACAGCATAATGCCATTCAATTAGATTTATTTTTACATTTGTGTTTGGAACCCCCAGATATATAAAATATTCATACGGTCTGCCTATAACACTATTAGATGTGCAGGGTGCTTTTGCTCCTTTAATAGTGAAGAGAGGAAAAATGAAATAAATACACATATCTTCATTCACAACAAATGGGAGACAGGCTGCCAGCAGCTCTTCCATCATCTCTTTTCAGGCGTTCAGCATGACAAGCTCTTTGCCAGAACCAAATTACCTGGTATATATATATTTTAAATGGACAGGATATCTAAGCTAAAAATAAAGCTATGTAAAATAAAGCTATGTTTATGTACTACATAGCATTTTATTTAATAGAAGCATCCATGGGATAGAATTCAAGCATTAAGAGAAATTA